TTAGTGAAAGCATGGCATTCAGCCTGTTGCAAACTGCCATATTAGCTGAAACCTGAAACTCTCATTTTTTCACTCTTTAATGACTTATATCTCGGAAACTGTACATTTTTGGGCTTTTTGCCTATAGACACTTTTCATCAGCATTTTATGAACTAAATTATCCTACATTATTGTTAAATTTGACTGGGAGCCAAAACCCCCCATGACCGTTGCGGGGTCCTTTATAAATAATGGAGATACGATTCTTTATCTCTAAGGGTCTAAGGTAAACAAATACATATTGGGTGCTTACGAAGAAGCACCCGGAGTTAGCTCGGGGGTAGATTTTGGTATAGCACATGTTACGTGCACTGTACCAAAACCTAACCCGGAGCGCCTCTTCGTAAGCACCCATTATTCACTCTCGTTTCATATATTGGTGCATGATATTTTGTATTTCCATTCCATTCTCTTTAGTACTGAGATAAATTATAATACGTATTCCAACAATTCGTTAGGCTGATATTCATTTCTCGTTTAATGGCAGGATATCAATTTGCCCGCTGCTTCATGATTATACAAGCTGCAAAATTGCAGTAGATGGGGACCAGTAGTAATATAAAGTTAAAAAACATTACGGATATATCGCTATAAATTATTATTAATTTATTTGCGTTATTATTATCAATAATTGCACATTATACATGAATGATATTGATAGAACACTAGTGAACATTCATTCTAAGTGTAAAGTTATACTTTATGTCAGTTTTATGTTCCACACGAGATAGCACATGATGCATCACCTCTTCAGGAAGACCAACTTTCTAATAACTTTATTTATTCTTGCATGATAGAAATATGACCTTATAAAACATGCTATTGGTAAAAAATCTAAAACGAATGTTTTCGAGTTTCAGTTTTGCGTTACGCATTTGCGATAACGTTAAGCAATTTTTATTTATATCTCGTTGACACACGGTCATGATTTATTCGTAAAACTAAAGTCATTAAAAACGTTTTAAAGATTTTTCTGAGAGAATTTCGAGTTTTACGTGGAATATGATTACACAAAATGTTCAGGGTGTTCACTTACGTTGCGGTAAAGTAAAAGGTCATATTATACGTCACGTAACCCGTGTGCAAGAAAAAAGTGTATGTTTTACAGAAAGCTTTTCTGTACTTTCATGTCCGTCCTTGAATCACGAACAGGCTTGACCTTTTCGTTTTTCTTAAAGAGCGCTCGATCGCGATCCTGAGGTTGAATTTCCATTAGTGTCCATTCGGCAAAGGTCCATTTTGAAAATCCACTTCGGAACGTTCGTGTTCGAAGGAACATTTCTCAATGTTCGAAGTTGCTTAGTTTTGAAGCGTACGTTCCTCCGATACTTCGTACCGCATTCTTGTGCCCTTTTCTTGTTTCACTCGTTGTTTTCATTTCACGATGAAATGTGCTTTAAACTTTTAATAGCTAAGTGTTGAAAGCATAAAGTTTGTAGAACGTGATCGCGAAAACATTAATACGAATCGCGGTTTATGTAATTTAAGATTAATAAGCGTGAAAATAGCATACTTATCTTTCCACAAGTTAGGTTTTGTATACTAGTGTTTTTTTTAAATTTTTTTTAAAGATTCTTGTATAATGAATTTGTTTCATACTTACAATATTACAATGCACGTTTGAAAATTGTGCATTAAAAGATATAAATTATTCACGTTCAATGGACAAATCGTATTAACATCAACAGAGCTACATGTATGCAATTCAGTGTATGTGGATGTATATATTGGCTATATGGCACACATCATAAAAATATATACATACATGCATTTAAATTTATTACTTACATTTCATATTATAATTCCGAGAGCACGCAAAGCGTGGACGATTCGAAAGCGCGAATAAAGCTTTAGTGTGATACGGTTTTGTGATTAAATATTATGATGCAAAAAGTTAAAATAAGCCTGCGGATGCGAGCCTACAGTTCTCCTAAAACACATTCTGTGTGTGGCTGCCCTTTTTCAATAATATCAGTTTCAAGACTAGACTTCTTGTTCTCAAGATAGTATAGTGAGATACTCGCAACCAAAGAAACGTTTTATCTCAATTAAAGACCGTATAGAGTGCGTTTGTGCTTCAGATTGTTTCAGTAACAAACAAGAAATGCGTCTTGGATTTTCTGTACCTCAAGGAAATTGCATTCCGAAGGGTTGATAAATAAATAAAGACATAAAGGGAAAGTCTTTTAACAGTGTTTTTATTTTTAATATTAAGCATTTAATAACTTTATCTAAAATATATTATGAATCTTAGAAGATTCTGTTGAAAATAACACACGAGATATAAGATTTTATATATATCTTCGTCTTTTAAAGTTTATTTCACAAGAAGCTATTTATATAATTTATATCTTAATTAAAATTACAATAAATGATGATAGGACTAATTTTATATTATTGAATATTTTAATGCGTGATTTATTGAAAATTGTCCTATAAGAAAGTACAAAACTTCTTTGTTAAACGTTTCCAATCGCTCATTTTCAATCATTCATTTTTGAAATACGAATAAAGTTTAAATATCCAAGGATGTCATATATGAACTTGTTACGAGCTTTCGACGATGGTAAAATTGGTGTACAAAATAAAGGTGGCGTGTAAACAAACCAAATTAATGATTGACAGAAATTGCGCGACCCACGTTCTTTCGACTTCCTTTACCTTGATTTTCTTAACTTAACGTGAACGACGTATATAGAGATTTCCGACCAAAGCACTGGGTCTTTTTCCACATCCACATCACGATCCTGCCTAAAGCTGTATACGTGACTCTGAAAATAATAAATACGAAAACTACTGTTATCTAAAAATGTTTACAAAATCTGAATATTAATTTGTGCAGATGAGTTATTTTACAGGAAGTAATTTGTGAGAAAAAAATAATTAATAGTAAATAATTTACGAGCAAAAAGTTACATTTGGCGACACGTTATTTAAATATCATAACATTATTAGACTCAATCTACTTTCAGCTACATATAGTGATTATAGATGAGAATAATTTTTTTTAGTTCTCATTTAGACAATAAAATAATCTTATTATACAATTATACAATTAAATAAAAAAATGGTTAATTTTGTCTCTGCTTTAAAGGATATATGAATTTAAAGGATATATCACAATATGTGGACTATATTACTAACTGCTATAAGATAGTTTTAATATTTTAAATTACTGAGAAGGTTTAAGCCTGTCCTAGAAACGTTTTACATATTATACGCTATAATATTTCTCATTTTTTACCAAATCCGCCCTTTTATCGGGGTGTCTGATTGCATAATTTCTCTATGCATTTATCAAGTAACTGTTTTGAATGTCCGCTCGAGGAATACCAATTGCGAGTGCTACTCGGAAAACTCTCCAGGAAAACCACTTCGCTCCAATCTCAACATTCGCCTCGCGTTTATTCTCACGAGCATGGTGTTTGCAAGGCCAGTTAATGGCATCACAAAGATGTTTTCTCTTCCTGGTATCGGTCGTCATTTCTTCGGTAATGTCAGAGCTTTGCCACGGGTTCTTTCGTAAGCTTCGCCGGTAAGCTGCATCTAAAATAAGTGCGAGCCTAAGGCTAGTCGCAGAGGGGAAATGGTCCGTTCCTTTTTCCCCTCCCTCTCTTTCTCTTTCTCGTTTTCTCCGAGGTCAATACGAGAAGTGACACTTCAGAGGTCAGGTGGAGCAAAGAACCGGCTCGTCCTCCGTCCGCCCTCTTCTCCGCCCTATAAAGCCCTCGTCTCGTTTGTCTACCTCGGGCGGCAGGTGACCCAGTTCTGCCGGAACGTACTGCTCTCTAACGACTTGCTACTCGAAAGGTATCGGCCTGGGGGCGAGTATACCCGCATGGATTCGACCCGACAAATTCGCTCGACACAATCACGACCGCCATTGTGACGCCGTATCATGATCGCGAGGTTTTACGTTTACGCGATTTCGGGCCGGTAACATCACGCGACGGAGACATGACGCTCGTAAAAGGAGCCATAACTTCGAGATGGTGACGCGTGCGATGATCGATAACACATCTCTGGAAGATATTGAGAGGGTTGTTAACGAGATATGCAAGGAGATATGCAAGACAATTATAACCTTTACCATTTACAATTTATAAAAAGATCTTTCATAATAACTCGCAAAATCCATCGCAATGTTATAAAATGAGAACATTGTACAGCTTTTTGTTACGTAATAATTTAACAATTAGATATTCCTTTCTAATAAGTTTTAGGAAGTTCTTAGAGAAATTGATTAGAACTTACAAGAATTTTTTATTATTTTTTAAATATAAACATTTTCTTTATATATATATGTTTAGTCCAGGTTTTATTTTCACATTTCTCGAAAATATAACAAGAAGATAAATTTATGGGAAAAGAATCTAAATTTCAAATTTTTAAATTTAAATTTGCAATTCAAAATATCTATTATATGAAAATTTTTCATCTCTTGTCAATACCTTTTGCAACTTTTAATATTATTCTATAATCATATGGATAAAACAGAAGAGAATTAAGAAGGCCAAATAATAAATTAATTTTAAATATATATCAAAAAAATGTCTTTATTTTAATTCCTAAAGACTTGAAAATATCCGAGAAAAATCAAGAAATTGTTTTTTATCTGAAACATCCTGTTTAATTCAATGTTTTGATTTTAACATTTTAATCGTTCAACCGAGTTATTTTTAAGATGTTTTGGCATTAAAACGGATTCTAAGCCGATTTCTGCTCGAATCATTGTATTTCAAGTGTAGAGATATTTCTCAGGGTTCTGGCAGAGGGGTGTTTGAATTATGGCATTTTAAAGCCGATTCTCTCTTCGACGCGTATTACAGATATACACCTTGGAAAATAGATTTTCGTTTCGCACAAAGGGGAGATTTGTAGCGAGGAAATAAAAGTTTTGATATCGCGTAGCTGCGCAACGACGTTACTGATGCGGGATACCATCGGCTTTTGTGTTGCAGGAATTCCTACTGGCGATCGACGTAACGTCCAGCGGCACGCCGGAAGAAAAACTGAAATGGGCGTTCCGTATGTACGACGTTGACGGCAACGGCGTTATCGATATGCAGGAAATGACGAAGATCGTCCAGGTACCGTGACTCATGAATAATGCATGCGCTTCGATTTATCTCCACTTAGTTGCACTCGACCGCAACTCTTCTGAACGGAATACAGAATTTTTCATCACTTGACGTCAGTACTATCGGCATGGTTAATCAATGAGGGGTAGAGAGGAGAATTGATTCCCCGATATATTCCGCAGCCGGTATATATTTATTTATATTAAAAAATGCACGGCTCTCTTCTATACGTGTCGCGAGTTCGTAAGCTCATGTTTTATTGCACACAACGTCACTACATTTCTCTCGCGATGACTAACTATAAGAGAGACTTGACAATGAATGTAGGAACACAGCAGCGCGAACTGAAGTCGTTTTATCGATACGCACGCTGGATTCCATTTTTCTCTTTACATTCGTAAACACGCGATATTTCGGTTCTTCCGTAACGAGATCGCACATACCACGTACCTAAATGATTGTTTTCCATTCGGTCGCGAATAAGTCGACGCTGGTTTGCATAATTAACGCGCGATTGCACGGTAATAAATCAACAACACTGTTTTCCCGCGTCCGTCCAGTGCACCTCTCGGTGGTGCTTATTTACGTCGCATTGAGTGGCGTATGCAGCGAATACCGACGCGCTAATATTTCATGAACGGCCCATTCGCGAGAGAACGGATGTCGACGTAGCCGCGCGGCTATTCCACTCGACGACCGTACGAGTTTCTCCAGAAACGCCAGAAGCGAGGCTCTTCGTTAAATACAGCTGTCGCGTCTCATTTTTAAATAAGTAATTGAAGTTTCTGTGCCGGTGATGTAGCAGCAGCGGGCGGTATAGCCGAGACGAATGGAAACTTTGTAACGAATGGAAACCTTTTGCATAAAAAATTTGCGCAAAATTGCGAGGTCACATTCCCCACACGCGCAGATAAAAGCGCTTTTCAATATTTAAATGGCATCCTGGTTTTTCAGGATTTTAACGTTTACTCGTTTTGCATTAATGTAGACAATAATTTTGCAATAATAACCATATAGGCATGATAAAGGAAATTTGAGAGATTAAAAAACACATAACGCGAGAGGAATGGCCAACCGCACGTAAAACATGATCTTTTAATATCGAGAAAATTATAATTTTGTCGCACGCAATTTACATGCGAAGAATATGACAATTTTTAAATTTTAATCATGGCAAGAAACAAAAGGAGTCGTTGCCAAAAATCCAGATCTAAAGATGATCTAATAATAACTTTAAACTTGCTGGGGATATATTTTAGGAAGAACTTGAAATTATTATGCGGAATAAAATCCGAAAATTAGGGCACGAAGATAAAATCGCGGTAAAGAAGCTAATTATCACATTATATATTTGGGTATAAATCCGAGTAAATAGAGAAACTCGCTTGTATGCTAACAGAGCGCGGAAAATCGCGATAAAAATCCGACGATGTATTTCATAAAAGTATTATTATCATAAACTTTATATATTTTAACGCAGCTTTTCATTATTTTATTTTTTTCCAAGTGTATTCTTACAAAGTAAATATGTCAAAATCGTTTTTACTCTGCAATAATGTAAATATAATTAATAAATTTATGGGCAACGAAATGTGGAATAGAATGCTTGGTAAAAGTTACATGATAGAAAATTAATTAATGCCAATATCCTTTGTCATATAAAAATATGTATTATGATTATTGGAATAACTATATATTGATATTTTACTTTATACTACACTTTATATCGATTTAATTACTACCCATTTAATTACTCTGTGATTAATTACTCTTTAATTATTCTCTAACGAATTTTCATTAATATTAAAATTATATAATATTAATATTATACATATAAGTATTAATATTAAATATTGATATTTTAATATTTTTATTCGATATTTATGTTGTATCAGTCCTTTAAAGATTATGGAAGCAAAATACCTTAAATATTTTTAACTTTCTTTCATAAATTGTATACATATTCCTATAAAAATCTTTTTACTCCTAATAAAAGCCGATACCGATCACTTATTATCGAAAAATAACAATTTTTTTCATTCTAAATTTTGAATACTGAAGAAAATCGTCTTGAAAGAGATTAAAGCGTTTTAATTATCGGTAAAAAGTTTTGCTGAAAGAAAATAAAAAGATCTTTAGTCCTTGCTTTTTGAGATACGTTATCGTTTTCGTTAAAAAACTGATTGAGCCGCCTAGTCGCATCCGTTAGGATACTCGTCTCCACGCTATTAGAAGTTCGGAACTTCCGCGACGCCACTTCCACGGGAATTCCGGTAACCGGGGCTTTCCGCGCTCAATGAAAATTAACGACGGAATGTTTGCTGAAACTCCGCGCATCCATGTTTAACACTTAACCCGTGAACATCTACATCGCGAAACGCGCGTTTCCTGTAACTCAATTGACCCTACATTCCATTGTCGAAACTCTGAGTATCCTAACAGTTGTTGTTGGTTGCTGCTGATATCTCTAAGTGCATTGTTTCAAAAACGCTGCCGTTTCTTCAGATCAGTCAAATTATGAAGCACCATATATATATATATATATGTATAAAAAAAAATATTTATAGATTATTTTTATAGATTTATTTCTATCGTTTGTAGAAATAAAAATGAAACAGATGAAAATATCTTTGCAAGGCAATATTTTATACAATTGCTGAACACAAGAAAAAATAATTTTTATATGAAGGTAACAGCAGCTCATCACAATTATAATTGTTTATTTAATATTGCAATTCATATGGTAAACATTTTGTTATGTTACATTTGAAATTTACGTTACAACGTTCGAACTTCGTATTATACTCTTTACAAGATAATTCTAACATGTAGTTTGAAGATTGATTTATAGCCTTCTATAAACATGCATCGTGTAGGGAAAACCGAAAGAGGATTAATTTTGTTTAAATAATTTTGTTTCACCGGTAAGTCTACCAATGCGTTTGCGATAAAATTAATCTGCTTTATCTCACGTCTAGCTGCTGAGTGAGAGAATAATAAATTTCGCACATTTATCTCTGTCCGAACGATTTACTGTGGACTAATCGGAAAGAGTACGAAAAAGAAATTCTAAATAAAGAATCACTGGTACGCTTTAGTGGCTCTCTAAAATAAAATATCGGTGCGATGAATTATATTTTTGGGGCAACACGATTTATCACTTAGTCGAGCTTTGCTCAACCGTGAACGCAACACATAAGAAAAATAAGTACATGTGCCACGCACGATTTAATTTCGAAGTTATCAATTTCTTGGCCAACTGCAAATGCATTACGCATTTCGTGATAATAAAATTGCTGGTTGCGACAAGTAAAGAGAGTTTTTTATTTTTTTACGCTGTTAAAAAACAGCGGTCAGTATTTTAATAAAATTCGTATAAACTTATTTGGCAATTATTTTATAAGTCTATTAAGATTTAAAATGTGTATAATACTTTAAATAAATAGTTTAAATTAAAAGATTAGAGAACAAATTAAGTTATGTACATATTAAATTGTTATATGTACGTTTTGTCATGCTACTAATTTTTCTATGAATCGTAAACTTTTATTGTTAAAAGGTAGTATATTTTTTATTATGGAAAGAAATTGCTAAAGTAATAAATGATTGTACATTCGAAACGTATTTTCATAGTTCGGCAGTATATATTACGTAAAGCGAAAGAAGCTACCGGCTTATCGCTATTAGAAGACTGCTTACCGGCACGGGCGGTCCATTGAATGCTCATTAATCAGCCGTTTTTGTATGCCTGAGTCGCGTATATAACCTTCGATCTTGATGGATTTAGGACGAACTGTCGTTTACAAAAACGTGACACAAGAGTTGTTCGTGCGGTATTCGTGATTTACGACTTTATTGCGTTTATAATGCGTTTATAACTAAGCTAATATGCAAATCTGCATTTCTGCTTAATCTATCTTGACTGCACTTTCTTAGGAAAAATAGTATTTTTGTCAAAGAATCTAGCAATATACCTAAGCGTGTCGATTTTTTTATATTTTATATTTCTCTTTGTGCGCCGAAAGTGTGTAATATTTGCTTAAATATCATTTATATATTAATAGTTTTATCTTGTCAAGCCCTAAGGGATATATGTATATACACACACACACACACACACGTACAAAATTTATCTGATGTATTACGTGAGAAGGTAAGTTGTAAACTAAAACTGCCTTAATCTTCTTACTCCCTAATCAGCTTAACGATTCTCTGTGAACTAGAATTGCTAAAATATTTTTAATTCCTTATAAGAAAGTGTAGAATAAATCTACCTTAAATTCTATGTTAAATTCTGAGATCTTTTACGAATTCCAATTGGAAATATGTCAAAGCCTTGGAACGAGGATGATTGATATCATTTTGCGAATTGAAAGCAGAAGAGAGATTATTTCCCTTTTGAGATTATTGGGAAACGAATTGATCGTCCTTCGTATTCCAAGACGTTAATGGAAAGCTGCTCTTCGTTTCGGATATCCCAAAATATAGACTGCTTTTCCAGATATACGCGACGGAGAATTGCCAGCGGGGCGGGGGTGATGCGTTAATTCTACACGAGGCTGAATATACCACGCGGAGAAAACAAAAGTGTTGTCCTTCTGTTCCCAGGCGATATACGACATGCTCGGCGCGTGTTCGAGCAATAGGCCGGCGGACAGCGCGGAGGAGAGAGCGAAGAACATATTCGCGAAGATGGACGAGAACAACGACGGGCAGCTGACGCAGGACGAATTCCTGAAGGGCTGCCTCCAGGACGAGGAGCTGTCGAAGATGCTCGCTCCTTAATCCCGACGTCGCCGCACCTCCGAACGAGTCGTCGACGACGCGCGATCGTAAAAAGGACACTGCGACCCCCACACCACCCCGACTCCCTCAGAAAAACTCGACGGAAACGTCAAAGCGCCGGCAGCAATAAAGCCACCACCGAAAACGTCACACACTCGCGAAACACACACGCATCCATTCACACGCGACGCGTATCAACGACAATTTCCTATTAACTATGACGTATACGCTATTATTGTAGCGTTTTGATAACGAGGCTGTCGCTTGTGCCCGACGAGGAGGGCACGAACCGCGACAACGGAGAGAATGATCGAAAATGATAGATAAACGAGGAGAAGCGGCGATTCAAATCGAGTCGCCGTCGATCCTTCACGGGGGCGAGACCCGAAAGAGAAAAGATTTCTCGGGGGGGACGCGATCGCACAGTGATTCATCGCACGCTCAGATTTTTCGCGCGGTTGACTGCGGGACAGCAACAACGTGGGTGGTGCATAATCGGTGGAAAAGAATGTCTCGCGAACATGGGAAAATATGCAGAGTGTGACATCATCGTCGACGACGGGGAGGGATCTAATTAGCTTGTGGAGGTCCTCATCCGTTTCGCGAACTCGCCAACCGTCGACAACCGCCTCGCCCGGATTCACGAATGTCCTCGGAGTGCGGTGACGGAATTAACGCGGCGAACGAGCCTTCCGTTCTCATCCGTGGGAGGAAGGTGACAACGAGTCGGTCGACGAGGACCGCGGTGGCTCTTAAAGCCCGCGATTTGGTTCAACTGATTCCGGACAAACGTTTCGCTGTCTCTTTCCGGATTACGGTCCCGTCTAATAACGCAGACAGGAACCGGCAACCTCTGAATCCTCTGCGAATCCTCGTGAATCCTCTGATGCGCTTTAGGACTCATAGAGATTTTGCGCGTAGCTCCGTACAGTTTACTGTCGGTTACTTGTCGCAGACACGACTTCGAAGGGGTTGACACGTTAGGGGGATCCAATTTCATTCTGGATATTATCAATAATTCCGAGTTGTTTTTTTTTTTTTTGCGAACTCTTTCGCTTTGTTGTAGTAAAATTAATAAAATTCAAGTCATTTTCTTCATACATCGTAGCTTGTTTGATTCTTACAAATAGTTAATCTATAAAAGTATCCATACAAGCGCATTCTTATATGCGTAAATTACAAATAAATCTCAAATGTAAATAGGTCTTAAATTCACATGATTCTGAAACCAACTGCAGTTAGAGATTTTGATCTGATTTGAGTCTCGCAATTTTTTTTTTTTTTAAACCTTGAGTCTTCGCACAAAAACCGCTTTTTCCAATTCCCTGTAAATACGTTAGAACTCAGCTCAAAGCCGACTGTGATTTCAATCTCGTGTAAGCTACTTGTTTATCACTTTAATCTCCATTCCATTACTCATTCTGCAAGACTACGCTTGATTAGATTACGTCGCGGGGAGTTGCAAGGTTTACTTGTAATCCCACAAGTTCTAAATACAGTTCTAATACAGAAGTTCGAAATAAGATAAGAAACGTATGGTGCATCAGAGGATTGCAAGCGAGATTGAAGGACCGATCGAAGCCAGCGCGATCGGTTTGAAATCGCGATCGGTTTGAAATCGCGATCTTGTCGTGAGCGGAACGCGAGCGGAATTTCAACGCGAAGCTCAACGGAATTTCGCAGAGGTGGAAGCGAAGATATTCACACGAGCGAGCTCCGTGTGAAGAATTAACGATTGCGAGAGACGCGTGCCGCGAGGTGTGATCGCGGTGTGCGTCCCCCTTCTCTCGGGGGGGGGAGCCTGCGTCGATCGATCGACGCCAGGTCGTGTCCAAGATCGGCGTGTTGCAAGGGGACGATGTCGGCCGCCGTCCGCGATATGACGACGGTGTTGCACGTTCGCCCGCGAGAGGTGTTAACACAACGAATTGCGAATTACGAGGTAATGCCTCTATTAGATAGGGGGGAATAATATTGCTTAGGGGTGACACAACGTTTAATTTTATACCGGCACACCGCGGTAGCTCCATTACATCGTCGACCAGCACGCGCGTCATCCCTCGCGCTGAGAAATCGATACGCGTACCTCGCATACGATGCTATTACGGCACAGCGTGCAGCGGATGCGGAGAGTAGCACCTGCGCTACGTATATACGTATTATCGTGTTCGTCCGAGATCCACCGGACGTCCGTCGCGCGCGCGCCCGTGGGATTAGGGGGAACGGTGGCGAGAGGCCGCGCGCGCGTTGGAGGGAGGTGATAAAAGCGGGTATCAATTTCCGGATAGCCGAAAATCCCGTGCGAAACTCCGCGTGTCGCTTCACAAGTTCTCCGCATCGCGCTTTCTTTCTTCGTTATCTCTCCGCTGTTGTTTTCCTTTGGATATATAACTGAATTTTTATATAGAGGAGTTTTTTTTCGATGACAATGATCATCGACAGATAATTGGCATTATAAAAATAACGATGTTTAAATATAGGTATATATAATATGTTAACTTCAATCTGATCCTAATTTACTTTTCGTTTTCGGAACAGAAATGAAAGAAGGGCAAAGAGTAAATTAAATTACAGCTGAAGTTGATCGGTGATATTGAACGAACAAAAATCGACTCTTCTAATTACTAGTTACTGATGCATTAATTTACTGACAAGATTCGCAACAGTCGGTATTTTGAGCATTATTACGCGGGAAGTTACGTTGAAATTACACGGTGCAAAAAGAGAAGGAATAATTAAATCCACTCACCATTTTAACTGATATGGAAATCGATCTCGTACTTGCATAATTGTTTTAATTCATTCGACAGCGTGCTCGTCGACGTTCCGACACTTTCCATCACGAAGGCTTCAGGGTCTTCTTTTTTTTCTCTCGTATCCACGTACATGTGCCCGCGAGAAACACAATGTGCATCGAGGTCAACGTGCTTCGCGTGCATGTATTTCAAGATTTATGAACAAGCGTCACACGTGCAACGGATACGCAACATCATACGTAACGTTCTTCGCATGGCAGATAAGTTGGGAGGAGCTTGCGGCACGTGCGAAAACGGATAAATTGGTCGTTTGCCGTCGAGAATCCTGTGCCTTGCGCCGAATCGGTAAGTCATAACTATATATTATTTTGAACCGATAATGTGAAAATTCTTGGTATATTTCAAGTACATTTTGAACATTATTTGCGAGCGATCTCCTCTCATCGAGATCGAAAAGATCGAATTAAAGATTTTTAAGGTAAAGGTAAAATATCCTCTGTCTTACCGAATGATCTATCCTTCTTTAATGGTCCAAAAGTTTCTGCGAATGCATCTTGCGGTGCCTTAATGCACAGAATTAACGACGCACGCTGTGTACACTTGAACGTGATCGGTTCCAAATGAGATGAATGATCATTAAGCCCGCGGTGCACCTACGGTACACCTCGGTTTTTTTTTTTTATTTCCTTTTGCGTACGCTGCTGTGAATGCTTCACTGCACGCTGATAACACATACGTTACAGATTGCACCGTAATTACTTGGTTATCCGTTTCCGATAGCTCTGCAATATTTCTCGCGGTTCGCGCGGTAATTTGCGGGTATCGGAGTATTTATTTTCACTACAATGACTAATCCCGTGCGCAAACTCGTAGAGAAATTAGAAATCTTTCGGCTTCTAATATCTCTTCGTAGATGAAGCGACTTATATTTATCTTGAGTTGTATTCAAAAATTTATTTTTTCTTTTCGAGGGAGAAAAATTGTGATCTCGGAAACAAACGAGACAAGTGTCGAGTAAATACAAGTAGCCTGAAATTTATGTCTGAAACTATATAGATCTTCGTGTTTAACTTGAATTAATCAGCAGGCCATATTCCCTAGGCCATTCGAAAACACACACGCTGCAACTTGCAAGCTTGTATCGGATAAGAGGGCCGACGGCACGTACGTGCCGCGGGCTTTAAAGAGAATCGATCAGAGCGTAATAAGAGACGAGTCTGGCTCGAAGAAGGCCAACGATAATTTTCGCACAGCACAGTTAACTCCGAGCACTTTCTCTGCCGTGCAACATCGCGCGTGGCGCGATAAATTCCCACGTGTAAGGCGACTTAGAACACATTGTGATCCGCGTGGATTTCTGGTGGACTAGAAAAAAAATGCGTTGCACCTTATATTCGCAGGTTTCTCGCGAGCGAGTCTTCTAATCGGTCGACCGATCGTGCGCTTAACGCAACGGATGAATGTAACTGGGTGATGATTCGGATGAAAATTAGTTTTCAGACTCTATACGTGAAGAAGCTGTAACTAATTAGACATTGATAAGTAGTAAGAATTATAAAGAGTCTCGAGATAACGCAGAAATGTAAGCGATTTAGCAGCCGATGGTAGGAAATAAGTATTCTGAAATCAAAACGTGTGTATATGCGACTCGGTTCTCGTTGTGGATTAAATGATTACGTTGAAATAATTGTGATTATCCGATGAATTTTGTCAAAATGTGTTTTCAAGTTTATGATTTAATACTGCATTTGAACGTATTAGAATTAATATTAGAGCTAATTATTCTCCAACGTAATAATTTATGACTTGCACGCGAAGCTAATTCGGATCTGTTCGTGAAATAGGTATTTATTAATCCGATTAGCATACGAGATACAATATTCTCTATGCGATTGTTAGGACACTGTATATTTGTATATTATCTCGTAAGATGAATCAAATTGATGAATAATCACTGTGAAAATAATATCGAATTAAATTATAGTCGTGAACACCGATAATATATTAAATGTTGAATATAAAATAAAATAAGAGACTCGCCGCGCGAGTAGAGTTATATAAAACGCAATTGTATAAACAATTGTCTCTTGTCGGTCAAGAATATTATCAGTCGATGCGCGCGGATGGGAGAGAAAGAGAGATAGAAAGAGCGAATGAAGACGCTTTTAATTAAGATTCCAATTCATTCTTTAATGTCATTCGTTTGCAATTATTAAAACGGGTAAAGGAATACCAGAAGTCTGTAATCTTGATCAACAAGGGCGAATGT